ATTCTTTAGTCTTTTAATGCCTCCATTGATTAGGCAACTGAGATTGTTGTGTGGGAGGAATATCATGACAGTAAGAATGAATGTTCTTTTAAAGTGTAATTAAAAAACACTGCTTTTAGAATTTTCATATGTCAAAGAAATTCAAAGACTTTCTTCACTAATATGAAGGAGGCTCAGCTTTGATCCTCTCCTCCCATGCTGACCTGGGTGAATGGAAGGAGTCCTCCAAGTCACCAATGCTTTTGAAATTAATGAGGAAACCTGGGATAGAATACTGGGTACCTCATAGGAAGGAACTCATAGGATGCATGGGATGCCATATAAGGACTTGGACATCTAGAAAAGGGTCCCTTGGGAGAGGCATGCCCAAACATGATGCTCATGGGGAAGCAAGTACTGTGGAAATAGTGTGGACTTCAGAAGATGGCAGAGCTGGGTTCACATCCCACTTACTCTGTAACAGACCTTGGGTTTATTATTTATCCTTTTTGATTTTGAGTTTGAGGATAAAACCATTTAGGATGATTTACTTGATAGAATTACTGTAAAAAATAAAAGGAGGTGATACCTCTAAAGGCTTAGCAGGATACCTGATACCTAGAAGCTGCTTAAGATATATATTCACTCCACTTCCCTGAATGAGGGATAAGGGCAGTATCAGGAGGATGAATGTTTTCCATCAATCTGTCTGCTTGATGGTAGAGTTAGTGTTACTGATTCTTCTACAACCAAAGACAGAAACTTGTTGTAAAGGTAGGGAGAGCTATGTCTATAGTGTCCAGGGAAAGCTGTGATATACCAAAGTATAGCCCTTAGATGATTAGGAGCACAAACTTTAGACATGTTGACCTATGTTTTAATATCTACTTTGGAGCCCTGGTGGTGCAGTGGTTAAGAGCTACTGTTGCTAACCAAAAAGTCAGCAGTTCGAATCCACCAGCTGCTCTTTGGAAACCCTATGGTGCAGTTCTACTCTGTTCTGTAGGGTTCCTATGAGTCGGAATTGACTCAACGGCAGTGGGTTTTTTGGCTGGGTTGCCACCTTCTGGTGTGCGCCTTTGGGTAAGTTACTTAACCTCTCTGGCCTGTTTCCCTCTATGTAAAGTAGAAATAATGATACCTATCCCATAGGGTGTATGCAATAGACCTCTGGTTTGCTTGGCCACTCCATTTCCTTTATTCTCTGAGACTTGATTTCCCTATCACAGGATAGGGCTCTTACATCCATGTGTGCGCCACATAAGCATGTTCCCATGCCAGCCACAGATGAATAGACCAGGGGGTTCACCTGATTTAGAAGGACCCAGCCCACTGGCTGGGATGACACAATCAGCTTCTCTCCTGCAAGAGGACTACGTGCGTTAATGACTACAAAGTGCTTAACATAGCACTCAGGGTGTAATGAGGTTCAGTAGTTTTTAAACCCAAAATAAAGACCACTTCCTGGTATCAGCTCTCCAACTTACAAAATTTCTGTCCACAGTAACTATAATTTGGATAGTTGGCACAAGCCTAATAGGCAGGCCAGGGGAGAATTTTCCCCAGGTTTTGGAGGGACAGCTCAAACCAAGAGAAGTATAACCTTCCTATCTTTATATCCCCTTCATGCTTTGGACATTTCTGAATGAGGCACGTATTGAACGGTTTTCTCTGGAAAAGCCTAACAATTCTCATGCTAGAAATTTTAATGTCATGGTGTAGGTAGAGTGTGGGTAGATTCAGACCTCACATTGCTTATTTTTAACAAGTCAGACTGAGAAAAAGCAGAGGTGAAGCCCCATTCTGGCCACACCTCCTGTGTGCACCCTGTAAGTCTACAGCTTTAGCCTCATGAATGGCTGTTTTACTCATCCTGCCCTTAATGGGCTCAGCTCATTAAATGCAGCAAAACTTATTCGGCAAGGATTACATCTCATTTTTTTCATTAAACTAGAACAGGCACCACAGTGGGGAAAAGGTTGAAGGTTTCAGCTCCAGTGATTTTAAAAATCTCCAAGAAAGGAAATGCTCTCCTTAATGAACAATAAACACACATGAAATCCTTTCTTATTTTAGTATTAATCTCAAATACCAACCGATGTGCTAGAGACAGAATTTTTGCCCGTGTATGCATTTTTCACCTTTTACATGTTTATTTCTTTTGTCTTTCAACTTCTATGCCATGAAAATATTCTCTTCTTCTTTTCTTTGCTATAGAAAGCTGAAGGTCATTTTGATTTCTTTTTTTTTTTTTTTTATAGTTTCAATACTAATTGAATTTTCTAAGATGAGTGTACAGATGACATTTTTTGGCAGAAAATTCTCTTCTTCTAAAATAGAAACCATTTTTTTTTGGTTTGGAATCAGCCAATAGTGTGATTAATATACCCCAGAGACTTCCTAAAGTGTTCACACATACTGAAAAATTCTGCAGTCTTTGGGGGGTACCAATAAGGACTTTAGTCAAAATACCATTCACTCGTCCAGGGCAATGCAGAAAAGTCACTTCGTCACAGCATGGTAATCCCTACAAATACATTCCCTTATACAATATATGTATATTCTATAGATAGGAAATCTGTAACCAGAAAAGTATAATCCAGGTTTCTTTTCAAAAGGAGCAACCAGTTCAAATGCACAGCTGGGTATGCCAGAAAACACATAATTAGACAAATTGGATTTAAGAGTTACGTAAGGTCTCAACTGAGACCGTGAATAAGAAGCTGAATGAAAGGTTGTGATTGCTGCTCTGGTGCCTGGAAAGAACAGAAATGGATATGTGTGTTTTGAGCAAATACAAGGCAATTACTGGGCGTTATGAAGTGTGGTTGGCATTCCATGAGAGTTAGACCGTAGAATGCCTCACAGTGGGCTGTGCTGGGAAACTGTTGTCCATAGCTACAAGGAGGAATCGGTCAGAGCAGATGTGCGTAAATGGAAAAGATTTGGTAAACACTACTTTGGATTTATATTTTGGAAAAAAGTGAGAGGCAGTAGCAAAATTTACATAATATGTAACTTTTCAATATAAAAAGTCTTACAGAATCTTAAGTACAAGGGAATCTATTATATATTTTTATTTCCTCTCTAAAAGTGGATCCTTCCAACCAAGGCAGGTACATGCTGGAGAAGATGACAAGCAAATGTACAGTTATAGAATTTTTTACTAAGAACAGTCAGACCAATGACTCAATATTGAAGCTAAGCTTCCTCATAGGACTAGAAAGCTGAAACTAAATTACCATTTTTTATTATTTGCAAATAATCTTATTTTCAAATTTGTCTCAAGGCAACTGAATGAAAAGTAGATGTTCTTCTCTCTTGATAACTCCCTGAAAAAAAAAAAATGGGACGAGAAAGCAATTGTCTGAGAGACTCCCATTATCTTAAAGAAAATGTCCTGGATTAATTGACAAAAGCACCTATTAGTCCCCATGACACCAATGCTTATAGCATTTGGGGCTTGTCTCTCAGTATGCAATTTAAGTACATATCCATAAAATTCTTGCCAACAAAAATAAAAACATTTTGTTTAATGATGCCGTCTAACCATTAAAACTTCTATTAGCAATCTCATGTTTGGTTTGATATACTTTACAAAGAAGTGTTTTGAACACCTCTAATTTTTAAATCACATGCTTTGTAATGTGGGAAATACAAAGATGAACAAAGAGTCCCTTACCTCGCATATATAACCTAGGGAGAGGAGCAGAAATATATACAAAAAATACAGAGAAATAAACTTGGTGGGTTGATGGCAACTTGGCCATGTACTTGGTGGTTCTGCATCAGATTTTTTTCTTTTATTTTGATGATAAAATTATTTTGAAGAAGCATATTTTGCTGTCTTTCCATTTAAAAGAGAAGTTTTTTTTTAAGTCACAGGTATATCTGTACAACCCTTATGATGCTAATTACCATAATTAAGTATTATATAATAGTTCAATACTGATAATCAGATAACTCTGTTTCTTGCATTATTTATGGGCATAAGTAGCTGGCAAAAAATCCTGATTAGTCATCAAATGGAGACCGTTAATTGTGAATAATAAAAAAAAAAAATCTATGTAATTTGACGAGGACATATCACTACAAAGTAGATTCTTGTGTTTGACAAATCTCGAAATTATTCTCAACAGCTGTCTATCAGGTTACCAAATTTGCAAGTGATTCATTTGGAGAAGTCCCCTCCCTCCCCAATTTCTTTATATATGAGAAAGCACTTGAAAATCCGTGTTTGCTAGGGATGTGGTGACTGAGGCAATCCAGTAGGAACAAAAGTTGGCAAGAGAACAACAAATGTGATTATAGTGTAGCTAGCTTCTGCTCTTCTCAGTCTAAAACTCCTATGCAGAGAGGAAAGTTGTCTCACACGTGCTGAAAAAACTTTCAAAAATGCCAAAGAGGGGAGGTGGATTTAGTATAATTTCCCCTAGGTTAAATAAAGCTCTTCATCCTTGAGCTGGCATCATAATACACCCCTGATACAGAGAAGGATATCTGCTGTGAATACTCATTGAATTAAGGTGCTTTATGCACTTTGCCAGGCCAATAACCAACAACGGGTCCTCCTTCCAATGAAAGAATATACAGAAATGTCTTAAATTAAATGCATGTTTTAGTAAATAAGTAAATAAATGTCCTAAGTAAAAACAAAATACATTTGTTTGGTCAGATCATTATTTTGCGACATTACGCCTTAATTCAGAGTTGCTTTAGACATAAAAACAAATAAGAATAATTAAAAAAACCCAGTCATTTGGAATAATACCTGCTTATGATTAAATATCATAGTGTATTCTTTGGTGTGCTTCCTACTTTATTTCCAAACAAGATGAGTAAGGTTAGAAATAGGTGAATAGTTTCTATCGTGTTAGGGTCAAAGTGCTAGTTTTGAATAGATAAAATTTTCCTCTAAACTTGAGTATTTCTGGTTTGTAAAACCAAATTCAATGTTGATCTTGTCAGAGGGACTAGGAATAAGAACAAAAACACACACAAGTCAGGAAGTAGAGACTTACTGTATCACGTTGCCTGTTATCTTTCCCCGATATTATCAAGAAGTAGTTCCATGTCAACAGTAACAACAAAACCAGTGGTATCATGTAGAGCTCAAAGTTCCAGACAACAAAGAGAAAGAGCTAGAGGAGAGAGAAGAAAGAAAAAGAGATGAGTCAACTCTGAATTTCATTAAATGGACTCTCTTATCCATACTCCACTTCAAAAATGACAAAACTGAATGGTTCAGAATAGGAGGATTTATCTTGAAAACAAAGCCCTGAGAATTTGTTGGGCATTTTTCTGAAAGCACAACTGACCCCTGGAAAGTCACTGTTAAGATTTTTACTTTGTTTAATTTCTGTGAAAGAAAAATGGATAGCATCACATTATTAAAGGCAATTTTAATTTTTCTCCTCCAGCGAAATTATTGTTAGGTTGGATAAAATAAAGTTAAAAAAAGCAAAATGAGCTTCACTACACTGCCAGATATAGCCATCTATCTGCCTTAATGATAAAGAATGAATCACTGTTTAATACCAGGGTCTTTTTTTTTTTTTTAATCTCACTTGGATAACACAGTATAATCATAGGCAGGTGAAAATACCAAATCTACACCAGAGAGCCCAAAGATTTCACATTATGAGTAAAAGCACTATTGCCAATACACGGAAAAAAAGAGGTTGGATTAACATTCAGCATTGGTATAGAAATCAATCAGCTATAAAAAACAGTAACTTTGTCAAAGGAAATTTAAAAATGTCTATTTCTATTTTTTTCAAAAACTACCTACTTTTCTAGATACATAAACTATTTTTTATTGCAAGACAAATGTTAGATTAAGAACTCACCTAGACTGGTAGATGGAGCCATTCTAAGAGTCATCTACATTGTAAACCAACACAGCATTGAATATAAAGTGTGACTTCCTCCCCATGCCCTACCAGACACTTGTGATCCTGGACAAATCATTTAAGTTCTCTGGGTCTGTGGTTTCTGCTGTCAAATTAAAGTAATGCTACATCAAATCATAGTTAAGAGCCAGATTCCAATCCTGATTTATTACTAACTAGTTGGCTTAGTTTCTTTACGTGTAAAATGAGAATAATAAAGTGTATCCATCTCACAGGTTGTGAGAATTAAATAGCTGAAACACGTGAAGGATTTAGCATGCTGCTTGGCACCCAGTAAGTGTTCAAACAACACACACACAAACGCATGCACGCATCTGCATACACACTATTATTGTGTAAATATTATCAATTCCTTACAAAACTACAGGTTATTTACAAGTTAACTAATTACTGACTAACACCCTCATGTAATACATATTCTAATACTGAAAGCTAGAAAGTTATCTGCCTGCTAAGATTTAGCTGAACCATACTGTAACTGGGAATTTGAGCCAGCTAGTTGGAGTAATACAAATATCTTGCATTTGATAGGCCAGAAGGGTTAGGGACAGTGTCCTAAGGACACCCCTGTGGGGCTTAGCAACATTGGCTGTTTGCAGCCTTCTTAGTAAATCTCAGTCAAGCCTACACTCTATTCAAATGGCAGGGAAATTAGACTGTGTGGAATGCTGGAGAGACCCCGGGCCTGAGGGCCAGAAGACCCAGGTTCTGGCCTCAGAGAGTCACTTTGCCTCTAAACAGAAGTCTATGATCTGATTGCCTCTAACATCTCTTCCCTAAAATTTAAAATGAATTCATGACATTACTGTATCATCTGTTTTTTTTTTTTATAAATGTGGTATTTAATTTTGAAAATTATATATTTCACTGAATTCTTTGATATTCCAATCTGGATGGACACTAAAAAAGCATAAACAATGATTTAGTAACCCAAGAAATGATATTTGGACAGAATTACACAGTAACTATAGATTCAAGATCCTGAATAAGAAAAATCCAAGCATTCCAATGCATTAAACATGAACCATATTTTTTATTTCACTAGAAAAGCAGGAAGATTTCCATCAAAATAAAATATTTCCATTTAAGTTTTGAATTTATGCAAGATATATAAAGATAATAAAAATTATAATTAACTACCATGATTATTCTATTGAAATGTATTTTATAAAGATAATTCTTTTTTCAGGAAAAGCTCCTTCTTATTCACTCTTCTATCTCTAGAGCCTAGAACAATGTTTGGGACATAGTAGTTGCTCAATAAATACGTATTTGTTGAATTAATAAATAAATGGATATTAGGTTCCCAAGCATTTAACAGAAGTCTAATTATTTATACTACTAAAATTACTATAGAGCTACCATATAAAACTAAGTGAATTCAGGAAAATGCACTCAGAATTACAACCTGGGATGGCACTAACACATTTCTCCCTGTGGCATATAAATCTATCTTAGTACTTCTTCTAGACAAGATTCTCTTTCCATCTTGGCTAAGCAGTCATGAACTGCCTTGGGTATTAGGTTCTGTCTGCAGTCTTTCCTCTTGGACCTTCCTATATAGTTGCCCTTTCCAAGGGCATTCACGTAACTCAGCATGTTCTGACCTCTTGGATAGGACTCAGCTTACTCCACTGCTAACTAACCAACCAGTTGCTGTTGAGTTGATTCCGACTCATGGTGAACCCATGTGCGTCAGAGGAAAACTGTGCTCCATAGGGTTTTCAATAGCTGATATTTTAGAAGTAAATCACCAGGACTTTCTTCTGTGGCATCTTTGGGTAGACTTGAACTTCCAACCTTTTGGTTAGCAGCTAAGTATGTTAAACATTTACATGACCCAAGGATTTCATTCCATTGCTAAATATCACTGATTGGAATAGTTGTTAACTTATTGAGCAGATATTCCCCCATGTAATGTTTACTCATTGGTGTCTGTTAGATTCCTGGTGTTACTCAGAATAAACTTTCTTATAATTTCACTTACTGGTGTTAGTTTTAGGCCTTACATAAATGTTACATAGAAGAAACTTTCTAGTTGTTAATCCTGAAGGTAACCAAGACATCCGTCAAGCTTTTCCCTTCTCTAGGTTCAAAATCACCAGTTCCTTCAAGCACCAACTACAGTTACGGATTCTGAGCACTTCCCCACTCTGGACATCTTCATCTTACCACATCTAAATTAATATATCAATAAACCAAAAAACCCAAACCAGCTGCCATCAAGTTGACTCTGACTCATGGCAACCACAAGTGAGTCAGAGTAGAAGTCTGCTTCATAGGGTTTTCAATGACTAATTTTTTGGAAATAGACCACCAGGCCTTTCTTCTGAGGCATCTCTGGATAAACTCAAAACACCAACCTTTTCGTTAGTAACCAAGTACTTAACCATTTGTGTCACCCAGGGATCTAACATATCAATAAACCAAAAAACCAAAACCATTGCCATTGAGTCGATTTTGACTCATAGCAACTGTATAGAACAGGGTAGAACTGTCCCATTAGGTTTCCAAGGCTGTAATCTTTACAGAGGCAGACTGGTGGTGGGTTCAAACCACCAGAGTTTTGGTTCGCAGCAGAGCACTTAACCACTGCACCACCTGGGCTCCAATATATCAATAGCTTTCTTAAAATATAGCACTGAGAACTAACACATTACTCGAATACCTATGGTATTTATATGTCCTAAAAACATGGGGACCAGAACACATAATGAGGAAAGACATAGAAGAGAGAGACATAGGAAGCAATTATATTAGTTTTAGGGATCCTGGCAGTGGAAAAATAGTTTCCTTCCCTATTGTGTATTTTTAAAGAATCTAATATTTGAGTAAGTAAAGAGCACCTACTGTAGAAAATATCTTTTTTCCCCAAAATGAGAGAGCTTGAATAACTCTAAAACAAAAGCATTCATTTTTTCTTCCTCAACACCAAATAGAAAATTTCAAAAGGTTGTAAAAAAGATCATGAACACAGATTAATAATAAAAATGTATTTGTTGAATATTTACTATGTGCTCTGAAATACTGTGTGTTCAAAATTAGGATAATACATAGTCTCTGGCCACCACTCCTCTGTCAGTTTGTTGTACTGTGGTGGCTTGCATGTTGCAGAGCAGAACATCAATTGCTCATATGCACGTTCAAGTTAAAGCTAAAGAAAATTAAAACAAGTCCACAAGAGCCAAAGTATGACCTTGAGTATATCCCACCTGAATTTAGAGACCATCTCAAGAATAGATTTGACAGATTAAACACTAACGACCAAAGACCAGACAAGTTGTGGAATGACATCAACGACATCATACATGAAGAAAGCAAAAGGTCATTAAAAGGACAGGAAAGAAAGAAAAGACCAAAATGGATGTCAGAAGAGACTCTGAAACTTGCTCTTGAGTGTCGAGTAGCTAAAGCAAACAGAATAAATGATGACGTAAAAAGCTGAACAGAAGATTTCAAAGGGCGGCTCAAGAAGACAAAGTAAAATATTATAATGACATGTGTAAAACTTGGAGATAGAAAACCAAAAGAAAGGAACACTCAGCACTTCTAAAACTGAAAGAACTGAAGTAAAAACTCAAGCCTCGAGTTGGAATATTGAAGGATTCTATGGGCAAAATATTAAATGACACAGGAAGCATCAAAATAAGATGAAGGAATACACAGAGTCACTGTACTAGAAAGAACTGGTCGAAATTCAACCATTTCAGGAGGTAGCATATGATCAAGAACTGATGGTATTGAAGGAATCATGTCCAAGATGCACAAAAGGCATTGGCAAAAAACAAGGCTCTAGGTATTGATGGAATACCAATTGAGATGTTTCAACAAACGGATGCAGTGCTGGAAGCGTTCACTCGTCTATGCCAAGAAATTTGGAAGTCAGCTACCTGGCCAACCGCCTGGAAGAGATCCATATTTGTGCCCTTCCAAAGAAAGGTGATCCAACTAAATGTGGAAATTATCAAACAATTATCATTAATATCACACGCAAGTAAAATTTTGTTGAAGATCATTCAAAGGCAGTTGCAGCAGTACATCAACAGGGAAAATTCTAGCTAGATTCAGAAGAGGATGTGGAATGAGAGATATCATTGCTGATGGCAGATGAATCTTAGCTGAAAGCAGAGAATACCAGCAAGATGTTTACCTGTGTTTTATTGACTATGCAAAGGTATTCGACTGTGGGGATCACAACAAATTATGGATAACATTGCAATGAATAGGAA